CTATATTTATATCACAGCTCACTTTCCAATCCAAATACAACTTTAGCCATCAACCACCATCCCCATAAAACTTTGCGATCAACCACCAACCCATTGGACTTCAGCCATCAACACGGTTCTCTCTCCAAGTCCATTAAACTTCAACCATCTAACTACGAACCCCCACTAGAATTGATGCTATCAATACAACACACACACACTCTATCTCTCACATAGATCTCGCCCAACACCAATACTCCAGTCCAACCCTCATCACCGATGATCTTTTTTGTCGGGGTCTTCTTCGACAAGTTGGTAGACCTCAGATCGCACTCACATCTCTCTCTCTCTCACTAAAAGTTAAAATGGTGATTTTATATAATTGTTAGATTCAGTGTGATTTTGTTATTGGGTTTGTGGGTATATATCCATATCTTGTTGTATCCATATATATTAGAGCATCTCTAACCATACTCTCCAAATTTTACTCTCTAAATTGGAATATTCGTAGAATATTCCAATTTGGAGAGTGGAATTTGGAGATTTGCTCCGAACCACACTCTAAATATTTTTCTTTTTATTTTTTTGTTAAAAAAACCATATAAATTAATAATGTTGGATATAGTTTACATTAGTAATTTTATTTTTAATAATTTATTTGGAAAAAAAATAATAGCATTAGAAAGGTGTCGACGAGAGCTTTAAAATGAACCTAATATTAATAATACAATACAACATATTAAAAAAATAAAATCTGAAATAACAGTGACAAAGCATACATCGATAGAACAATGAAGTAAACATAAACCTCTAATACAACATACCATAGGTCGCAAACATAAACCTCAAACATAAAATACGATAACAGACAATTAAAATTTCGACAGATCATTATCGTTATAACTACCGGTTCGATCCCAATCTCTCGATGAACCCCCATATGAAATTACCCTAGAGGGGAGATGAATAGGGTATATATCTAATCTAATTCGATATTAATGCCAATTAAAAACTTATTAACTTATATCCTAGCAAATATGAAATACAACAAGTTATATGGGCTAGGATATGCAACATAAACAAATGGCGATATAAGCAAAAAACAAATATGCAAATGAGATAGTGCGCAAATGGACAATACAAACACACGATGTGATCACAGAGTTCGGTCACTTGACCTACGTCTCCGCTCCCCACTCACGAGAACACCACTATCTCAAAAGATACTATACAATCGGTTTTCAATGCTCACCGATAAACGTTTACAACACTCACAATACAATCACACAACACACCTATTAAGTGTTGGCCTAGCCCGTGTCGCCTTCCTCAAGTGTTTGGATTTACAATCTCTCTAGACTTTACTACCGACGCCACTCCTCTTGAAATCGATCCCGTCGCTCACCACACACTCCTCTCGTTGTACTTGTGTATTACAAAATGAACTCTCAACAAGAAGTACAAATAAAATGATTTTTTCTCCAATACAATTTGAGAACAAAATTAAGCTCACTCAATCACACTTATAATCTAAATGTATTATATGTAAAAATACTCTAGCTCAAATATGAGGGTGTGTGAAACAATATGAACAATAATGAAAACTAAACTCAATGTAAAATCTAGCTTAGTAAAATGAATAAATAATAAATAATTGTATAAGGCTAGAGATTGAGTTTAGAAGAATCTTCTCCGAATTTTAAGAAAGAGAGATGGATGGAAATGAAACTCAAACCGATAGAATCAATCTCCTCTTTCTCTTGTGAAAGTTTGTTCACAAAAACTTGTAAAACAACACTTAAACAATCTTTAAACCATTGTAAAACTTGATTAAAACTTTCTTGGTTATTGGGAGTGTTAAATGTAATGGGGTATATATAAGGTAGAAGAAACCAGCCCAAGAAACCATCACAAAACAACAAAAACAATAAAAAACACAAAATCTGGAAAACTAGCTGTTATGCCAACGACTACTAGTTCGGTCGACCGGATGCCAATGGTCGATCGACCGAATGATGTTCATCGGTCGACCGAACACAAGTTGTCGGTCTACTGAAACACCCTGAGAAAAATCAGTTTAAAACTTGAGTTCTGGTCGGTCGACCGGAAGGACATGATCGGTCGACCGAAATACCCTGAGAAGCACAACTGGAAAATATCGTTCTGGTCGGTTGACTAGCATGTCTTGTGCGGTCGACCGAAAACTGATATATGACTAACTATTGAAAAACTGAATTTGAATCAACTTTTAAAAATATCAAATAAATTCCAAAAATTATAAAACTTGGGAAAATGTTTATAAAGATAATAATGAACATGTCACAAAAGATAATTTTCAAATTGTATTTCCCGTTTGTGAAAACTAGTCGTTTTGCAATAATTTAAAAATACGTGTTTGAATGAACACTTGATTTTGACATATGATTTAAACTAAGTTATAAAAACATTTTAAACTGATTTATGGACTATATATAAGATGTATACAAAGATTACTTAAAAATACCCAAATTGTGATGAGAGTGATAATTGTGTATGTGTATATAATTGAGCGTAAAAGTATTGATACACAAAATACACATTCTACATTAGAATACCATATATATTGCATATGAAGCTCGGTCGAGGATCTTGACTTGACTTGTATATGCTCCATGTACAATATAGCTCTTGAATCATAGTCGAATGATGGAGCTCTATATTCCTTTCTATTAATAATTTCTTGTTTTTTTGTTGATAGTAAGCACGTTCACTTTGATCGACGATCTTACTTAGATCAATCAATATAATTTGTCTATCTCGCTTTTACGTTGAAGAGCTAATTGTTGGTCACGTTGTTCTACTTCTTTAGCTCGCAATTCTAATTTTATTTTTTCATTTTTAAGTTTCATTATCATCAATCGCTCCATTTTTTCCCTGCTCATTTCACGTTTAGTATACATCTCTTTCATACTCTTAATAATTCCCTCAGAACTAAACTCCACCGACTTTTTTCTACTTGTCTTCTCCTTCTTCCTTCCAACAGGCTGACTTGCTAGGTTGTCCGTGGGAGACTGGTCATCACTCATGTTCATAAAACTTTCTCCGTGTTGAGATCCATAACGTCCTTTGTTGCATTAGGCCGACTTTACGTGTACGACTCTGATCATACTGAGATGCTCCTAGCTGCATGATTGGATTTAAGATCAACCCATTTCTCGGCATCCTTGAGGATCGTCCAAACATGATCGAACTGATTCTAACTTGAGTCAACGAATGAATGTAATTTAAATATTATAATTTATGCTTGTATTTTCTTATGAGGCAAGTTAAATAGATTCTCGTATTTAAATTTTCATGTCTGATACTTATTTATTTAATTTAAAAAATAATAATTTTATAATAGTACTAAAATAAATTAATCTTAGTTTCATTTTGAAGATCTCGACGAGACCTTTCCAAATATATAATTATTTCAAAAATTAGATTAATAATTTTTTAACTATATTTATTTGAAATTAAACATCTAATTTAAATTACTAAGAATGATGGTAAAGTGGTAATTTTCAAGAAATTAAATAGTTAAAAATGATAAAATTGTAAATAATGAAAGTTTGAATAGTGATTTGGAGAGCCTTTCCAAAGTCTAGCTTCACTTTCCAAATTTGGAGATGGTTTCCAAATTTGGAGAGGATTCACTCTCCAAATTTGGAGGAATGAAGATTTTAGAAAGTGATTGGAGATGCTCTAAAAGTTTATGAGAAGAAAGACGTTGAATACAATTTTATGGCCTGTATAAATTGGTGCAATAGGAGAAAATGCTTGCACACAGGTTCACCTTAAATGGCAAATGCACTGTGAATATGCAAGTAGCTAGTTAACCTAGACTCGAGGTCAACCGGAAGAAAATGACAACTAAATGTATTAAGTTCTAACCAGTGTTTTTAATGCACGAGGCGCAATGCGGGGCGCAAAGCATCTTTACGCGCATATGCGCAAGGGGCAACGCGATGCACGCGCCCGAGTGATGTGAGGCACACACCACACACATAATATTTTAATATATGTAATCAAGCGCGAAAGAACATGTTTTTAGAATTTACATGAAAATATCATGATAAATAATATCTTGCTAAAATCACAATATATAATCTAAGTCGTCGCAGCCGCTCAGCCCGTCGGCCCGTCGCTGCTCAGCCATCGCCGCCCGCCCGCCATCTGTCGCCGGTCCACTGCCACTCATAAGCTCCGTCGCCAACCGTCGCTCGCGTCGCGCTCCCCACCCCCTCGCCACCACCGCCACCCGGCGCTGGCCTACCTGCCCGCCATCGCCACTCGTCGCCGCCGCCTCGTCAGTAGCCGTCCAGCCACCTTCACCCGCCACCATCCGGCCGTCGCTGCCCGTTCGACCGCCGGCCCAGTGGGCTCATCAGCCGCACCGTCCGTCGCGTCGGCCCAACCGCCCGTCGGTCGGCACCACCCGCCGCCGTCACGGCCGCGCCGCCACTCCGCACACCCTCGGGCCATCCGTCGTCGGTCGGCGGCCGCCCGGCCACCCTCCACCCGCCGCCACCGCCAGTGCGTCGCCCGGCTCGCCGCGTCTGCCCATCGGCCGGAACCACCGGCCATGCTGCCGCTCGCCGCTTGCGCGCGTCGCCCGTCGGCGTACTCGCCACCCGTCGGCCACCGTCGCCGAGCACGTACCCGCCGGCCACCCTCCACCCGCCGGCCGCCGCAGCACCCGTCGGTCGCGGGCCACAGCCGGCCCGCTCGTTGTCACTCCCGTCGGTCGACCACGCAACCTGCCAGCTGAACCCGTCGTCGCCGCCGCCGGCCACACCGTCGGTCAGGCCGCCGACCATCATGCCTGTACCGCCCGTACCGATTGTCGTCGTTTGCCCGCGGGCCCGTCGGCCCTCGCCGGCCACCCGGCCCGCCCACCAACGTGCCGCTATTATAAATGGTCAAACTAGTTTGACCTAGTTTGACCAAAATGGTGTTTTCGAAACACATTTGAAAAAAAAACACCATGGCATAGTGTTTTTTACAAAAACACAACAAAAAAACACAATGATTACCAAACACACCCTTAGTTAATATGCTTGTCATTTTACCGGGAGGATGGTATATTGAAACTTCAACGTTGTTGCATGACTGTTAACATCAAAAAGGTTCAGTATCACATCGATCATACGTTGGTCCGAGTGGACACCCTATATCTAGGAGCAGGGCATGAGAATTTTGCTAACTAGAAACTAGAAAGCATGAACAATGTCCTTCTGAAGTCCTGGAATGAGAGCTTTCAAAGAAGTCCTCTATCATGAAATTATTCCACTTTAAGTACACCCAACTATATAATCTATAGGATTTATTATATCAGAGTTTTCTTTATCACATATCTCTCATGTGGAATTATTCGCTGTCTTGTGATGTTAGATATCCTCCATTTTAGGTTGTAAGGTCTCATGTTGGATACTCCTCCGTGTAGCATTTCACCTTGTGATGTGAGATTCTAGAGGTGGTTCACACCCCAAAGATGCAAGCTGTGATGCTCACCATATTCCTTCCTGAGTTCTGTATACTCGTACTGGTGTTAGGTTCCGATACCATCTGTAAGTACCCTGAGGGAGAATTTCTCGGGAGGTCACTCATCCTAAAATTGCTCTCTTGGACATGTATAACTATAAAATTTTCCTCCGACTCCCTGCTGGAATTGACTTGTGGTGTTGGGAACTTTGATCATTTATCAAATTACTGCCACATTTTCAGTCTACAAAGATATTCTAATATTGAATCGATTGATAGGCATAATTGTTAGAAAAACAGCATTCTGTGTTGAGCCTCTCATCACGTGAAGTGAGTTTGCTAAGTTTATATTTATGTCTCTGGTTAGCAGTAGGCTTCTCATGGTCTTCAGGAATCGGTTGCTTGCAAAGTTTGGAGGCGGACTTCATGAGAATCACCCTTTTCATTAACTGCAACATCTCTAAAGTGGTTTTATTGCGTTGCAATCCCTTGCTTAAGCTAAGTTGCAGGTACCAGTAGAAGAGATGACTCTGTACAATTTTCCTGACTCTTATGTTATCAGATAAGCATCACCAAAGTCGTGGTTGCTTTCCTGATTTTAGCTCCCTCCTTCAAGATTTGTTTTTCCTACCTTGTGCTCCACCATACAACACAATGCAACTAACTTCCGTGATCATTTCTGCAGATAGCTTCTGCATGAAACAAGCAAGGACTTTGTTCTGTTTTGTTCTAGAAGTTTTTGATAGAATGCGTCCTGCAATTATCGATGCCATTTTCTTCATATTCTACAAGTAATGGGTTTCTTACTCGGAAATGGGAACAAATCAAACTTTTCATAGGACTGACCTCTAAATACAACCATACGAGCCCCGATCTTCTAAAAAAAAGGTGATTTGGTCACTAATTTGATCCAGCTCATCTGTTAGGCTATGATAGTGTTGGTCGTGCAGATATATCCTCTAGCAAAATTAGTTCGGTCTCCCCCTTGTTCTAGGGACACGTCACTTACTCATTACTGTCTAGATCAACTTTGATACCAACAGAACATCAGCATATTATCCTCCGTCCATCATATCTGTCTAGCCGTAGTTTGTCTCATGCATTCTTGTATTTCATTTAGTTCTGTTCTATTTATCAGTATCTTTTTATATATCCTATTAAGACGTAGTCTTAGACATTTAGTCAAATGTATGTACGTCTTCTTAGTAATTATTCAAATATATTCATTTTCTTCTAAGACCTTCCTCGAGGAAAAAAGATTACTTTTACTGTATTTCTTTTGTGATTATAGTATTCGAGTTTCTACTATTGGGAGATTCACTTTCACATCAATATCTAGATGATCGGTACTTGTAATCTAAAATCCTTCCTCAAGAGAGAAACAAGTAATATACTAATCTGAAAAGTGGAGGTTGGTTTAAACTTCATTATTGAATAAGACTTCCTGAAGTGGTTCTCTTTTGATGATGGTGTTATATAGATTAAATTTCTGGAAGCTCTGGGTATTCTGGATCCTAGTTCTTTGTTCTTTTTAAAAAAAAAATAAAAGCGGGGAAAGTCATAACTTTCAACTCTGTCGCTTACAATGTTTTCTCCAGGCTTGTAGTTCAACCTCAAAAACTTCACAAAAGAACACTCCATTCAGGACTGAGTAGATTAAGTTTCTACCAGAAGATAGAAAGTATCATATATATAATGCTGAGCTGAAATGTGAAATGATACTTTTTGAATTTTAAATAGTTTGGTTTCAGTTACCAGAAAAATAGGGTGAAAACGAAGCAATAATGCTAGACACATAGGTAACGCTAATCTATTGAGCCAATCAAGTTTTAGATTGTCCAGGAACTTTATGTCATCATGTTTTGTATTTGGCCGTGTTTTAAATTTTTTCAGGTGTTGATTCTTGCGCTAGGATTTCGTCCCATAATACTCTCCACAAATATGTGCTTGCTTTCAAGGGTTCAACAATTATAGCTAAGATGCACCGAGAGAGTTCAGACAGCACCACTCCAATAGGTCAAGTAACATTCCTTCATCATTTATCCCTGCTCTGTTTGTCCTTATTCCCAGGTGCATTCACAGTAACTGGTAAATGGAATGATTGTGAAATTACATTAGGTGTAGGAATCCCGGAGAAGGCACTTTTTTCTGGGATCCTATTTATCAAAATAAAATAATAATAATATAAATAAATAAGTGGGTATTGGACCCTCGAAGATAACGTTAAATAAAAATAAAAATAACTAAAGAAAAAAATAAGTGATAATAAACGAAAGGTTATATTTAATTTGATTTCGGTGGTTTGGTTATGGCCCCTAGCATGTGCTTGGTGAGATCTCCTTTTTGTTGTACCACAGACGGTTTTGCCAACCGTCACAATAATTCAAAGCTTTGTTTTTGATGGCTTCTTTGGTGACACTGGAGTAACCATCAAGAGCGTGACATGACATATCTTCATGCTCTTCCCACTTCGGTTTACTCCAGAAATGGGTGTTTAAAGCACTTTATAAGACACAATAAAAGAGTTGAGACTGCCCCCCTAATTACATTTTAATAGAAGGCACATTTTGTGGTTAACTTTCTTGGAATTGCGTGATTTTATACTGCAGGTGCTTTCAGATTTCCCATCGTATATTTTACCTTCAGGGACAAAATTATGATTTATATCCTCCACTTTTAATCTCACCAAGTAATTATCTTAGAGATGATTACGAGTCAAACCTGTCTTCAATTAACAATTTTACTTTTGAATGATCTTTAACAGTGTTAGGTGCATGTCAGACCACCCAAAAGACATCATGTCATATCTTTGTTGTTATGTTAGCTAAAAGTGGGGAGGTTTGGCATGATAGCTTAGAATTTACTCTTCACGTTACTTAAATTCGGGCAATGATTTTTTAAAGCTCTGCTTAAGGTACCAGCTTCTGCGTGTTATTATAACTTAAATTTCATGTTACTGGTGTAAAGTCTACACCTGTTTATATGTCACAACCTTTGCTTTATTTGTTAAAGTTCATGAACAGGTCCAAGCTTTCTCCTGCTTAGAGTCCAAGTTTCTAGCATAATATTTATGTTCTTGATTCTACGCAGGAGCCATACCTTCAGAGGAGTGCAAGTACAAGTTTTTTTTAGATGCTGAAAGGTTATCCTACTTCTTTTTTCTTTTCTGAAGCAGGAAACTAGACTTTTTAGCTACCTAATGAATCGATCGCTTACCAAAGACTTTTTTTTTTCCATATGTACTCAGCCATACATGAGCTAAAATTTCTGTTGAGTTTCGCGGTTTCATTGCCAGATTTAGCAGATTTATAATGCATGTGCGATTAAAAACAAAAATTAAGCAACGTTCTCCAAACGACTGTTGTTTTGTTTATATAGGTGTTTTGTTGCTCTCAAAAGTTTTTCCTGAATAAAAAGGCGATGAAGATTTGAGGGTCATTCTCAGCCAACAAATTGATGGGAAGGAGAGCTGTTGCCGACCAGCAGTGTGGTTCAAATGTCAGTTTATGGTGCGCTCTCTGTGGCCCGATGAGATCGTTGAAATCAATTCCCTTGATGCTTATCTTCAACATACTGTATCATGTGACATGAATCATTACGAGAAAGCAATTGTGTTGTGTTGTCCCTCATTAAAACTCTGAACCGGCCAGCTAAACAAATTTGTACAGGCACTAGAAAACCAATTAGCGAAAAGAGTGTCCCTCTCTGAAATTATGCTGCTTTTAAATCACTTCCTATCTACTTATAGTGGTTGGTAGTGATGGAGTGTTAGGTGCGAGCTAGATTATGTTTTGGGATCATATTGAATCTACTGAGAAACAGAAGGGTAATAAAAATCGGCAAGAGAGTATTTTATTGTATTTTTTTTTTTTTTAATCAAGAAAACTAAGATTTTACGAAGCAGGGACGGAGATACCCAACGGGTCCTGTAACTCTAGGCTTTTCAAAAAAGGATTTGACCTCCTACCTCTAGATCTTTGCGTATCCATTTTCTTTTTTAAAAGAAACCTCACTCAAAAGAGACTGGTTTCATGTTGGATTGCACGAGGATAAATTCTCTAGGACCTGTTTCACTAGAATCACTTCTTGTCCGGTCGGAATATATCAGCCAAGGCACAGATAAATAAAAAGGGGGCACTATATCTTCTCATGACGGTTTTTGACTTCATTAGCTTGACCGAGGGTGGGGGGTCTTCCTCTGGTTTCCGAATGAAAAAATTTATGGTTGAGGCCTCAATCCGAAGAAATCACCACGGACTTATCTGAAGACTACCCAACCCTGCTAAGGGCCGGGGAATGTCCGAGGCTAATTATTCCTATACCCAATGGAAATCACTCTTGACATCCCCGGACATTTTGGCTCTGAGCCAAGCAAACAGATGCTGGAGACAACCAAGGTGATGTAGAGAGTTCATCTTCTCAAGATATCTCGACAATGCTAAGCAAAACAGCTGTCAATCGTCAACAATAATCCAACCATTTGGAGATAGAAACCAAGCCCTCAGAAAGCCCGGGCTTCGTGGTTGTTAAACCAAGTTGTTGGCCTATCATTCATCTAAACACGCACACCCCCACACTCTAAAACTCGTCTAACCAACTCTAGACCCAAATCCTGCTTAAAATTCATATATCACTCAAAATCTCTCAGGTATCATTCATTCCTTCACAACTTCTCGCCATGGCAAAGGCCACCCACACCCTAAGAAGATCAGCCCATGCCTTCTTCCGAAGCTACCAGGCCTTCACGACTATGTCCGCCCTCGTCCTCCCTTTCTCTGTCGTCGTCCTCCTCTCTCAGTCCTTCATTCCCTCTTCTCCGCTCCTTCGAACAATCTCCGTTCGCATTCATTCTCTCTTCGAAGCCGCAGGCTTCCCTGCGGCCTCCCAGTTCTTCTCCCTCCTCAACCACAAGCTCTCCCAATCCACCTTCTCCTTCCTCTTTTGCCTCCCAATCACTCTCACCTTCTTTCTATTTGCAAAAGCATCAATCATACAAACAATGCTCGAGTACCCAAACCGAAGAATCGGAATACCATCATTCAACTCTCTCGTTCGTCTTTATCGCTTAATCCTGCCTACCCATATCTTCAACTCATTCGTTATCGTCTCTGCCAATGCTGCAGTCTTCTCCCTCCTGTTTATGGCCTTCAACGCCCTTGACATTTTCCGACTGTCCTCAGATAGTTACATCCTCGGCCTCTCTGCTGCTAGCGCAGTTATCTACTCAATAGTGCTGGCCAATACAACAGTAGCATGTAGCCTAGCAACAGTCGTATCAGCAACAGAGAACTGCAGAGGGTACAAACAACAAAATTCATTTTTGGGTTAGTTGCGGATACATTCCCTCTACTATTGGCAAATTGAACCGCTGCCCCTGTAGTTCTATTGTTGCAGATAGACCCCCTGAGAAGGGTCAAAAAATTTTCACCCTGGGTTTACCTGCAGCAATGAAACCACAGCGGCAGCGGCAGTAAGTTCCAAAACAACAATAGCACAGGGGGTCTATGTGCAGTTAACCCAATTCAGTTTAAACTTCCGGGATTCTCAAAGACTAAGAATTTTCCTTTTCCAAACTGTTTCAGGTACTTACCCATCCTCAAAGCCTGCGTGCTTATCCAAGGAAAGGAAGCGACTGCGATCACTGTGGCTCTGCCTGCAAGTTTGGGGATGGCAGCAATAGAAGCATTATTTCAGTACAGGATCGCGAGACCTTACCTTAATTTGGGAAGATTTAGCATGCCAGCTTTTGGCGAGGCTTTCTTGATTGCTTATCTGTACTCGCTCCTGATCGTGCTTGACACCATCATCAGCTGCATTTTGTATCAAAGCCTCAAGAATGGGGATCGCTGGACCTTGGAAGATGGAGATGATCTGAGTTTAGGACTGAAAAAGGAGCAGAAGGGTTATCTGGAAGTATGAAAACAAAGATTTAAGTGCTCTATAAAGTGAACATATCACAGACAAGTATTTTAAGTGCTCTATAAAGTGAGTACCAAATGAAAACAAAGATATATACAGCTATCTGAAAGATAGTAAACAAGATTTTGATGTTCGAAGCCCAAAGCAGGCTCACATTTCCTTACGCTGCTATTTGCTTCCATGCATAATAGCTTTAAATTGTCATTATTATCTCTTTGAATACACCAGTAATGTCATAATTTGTTAATGCAACTTCTGTCGCACCAAAAATACAAGTGTTTATGCAACTGCCATTCAAACGTTTGACTAAAACAGTTTATTTTCCATTTTGAGATGGAAAGGACTGGATCCATAAATAAAGCATATATCAGAAATTACATCGCATATACTGTCAGATAAGCGAAATACACCTTCAGCATATAGGCAAAAAGGCCATGAGAATTCAGATAAAACTAACTTGCCCTAGCGGGCGCATCTAGGTTAGTTAATCGAACCACAAATTAACAAAATTGCACAAAACCAATAAGAAAATAAAACACAATTCCACCAGAATTCACAACCACAGGAACAAATAGGATTTTGTTTAAGACCTCACATTGCCACAGCCTGAACCAAACTCTTTCGCAACCAAACCCCACATCTACCATGTGAGATGTTTAACGGGAAACTGCAGCTGGAGTGAATCCGTTTCCAAAAGAAAGTAACAGGGAAGCAAGAAAAGCAGTTTCATAGAAGGATAAATAAACAAGAGAGAATAAAACAATGGAGAGCTCCCAATGACAAACTTTATCATAAAGGAGGAAGGTCAAAATGTGGTAATCATCTGCCATCAGTTTGCAGACCAATTGAAGATGATGCCCTTGATCCATCAGCTGTGTCACCACGGCTTGAGTTAAAGAGCAGATTAGACCAATTAAATGATCTGTGTACAATTCTTGATGGAACCCGATCACTATCTTCACCTCCAGAAGCTTCATACCCATCACTGCTCGTTGATCTCAATAGTTGAATCCCCTTCTCAGAACCAGAAGCAGATGGAAGTGGCATTAGCCCTCGTAAATCTTCAGCTCCTGAGGATGATACCCTAAATGGATGGAGGTCTGGTGAGCCTAAACTACTATCAGGAGAAGAAGCAGTTATGCCTGTTGAAGACATAGCTCGGCTGGTTCTAAAAGCGCTCCTTGCTGCACGTTGGAGGGGTGCTAAACTACTGGATGCTTCTGGAGGTTGAAGCTCATTCCGGTCCATAGTTGCAAGTCTGCCTCTTTTATTTGTTCTTCTTTTATTATCAAGAATTGGAACCATTCGGCCACTGTGACTGCCGAAGCTGCTGTCTGTTTCGTGACCTTGTGGGGTTTCTCGTCTTGTAACGGGCTGGAGAATTTTGGACTTTTTCTTTGCTTCCGCTGCCGCTTTTGAAACTTCTTCTGCATTAAGACGTGCAAGTGTCCATGGACTAATTTTTACGGTGGCGCTTTTTTTCCTTCCTGATTCGTCTGGAATCATTTTCCTGCCAGTAGTTTTGTTGGGCATGCTTACTTCTGGAGGGACTACGTCAAACTGGAGAAAAGAGGGACATCGCAGCGTTAGTTCTTGAACGCAGAAGAGGTGAGAGTGGCCACTGTTGCTTTTTTCACTACAGACATTAGGTCCATGGATGTTATGGTCAAAATACCCTAAACTATTCCATCACTAGGTAGTATTGGTATTAACAATTAAAAAAAAAGAAAAGAGGAAGAAGACACATAACATTGACGATAATAGTGCGAAAAGAGTCTTATTTGTTTTACACTTCTTGAGCTATTGTCTGAAGCACCCATGTTCATCAGAATTCATTCTTTGGGATAGTGTAAGCATTTTAACTTCGGGTTATTTGCATTCACATACCCCCATAGTTTACACTATTTTTAACTTTGATACGCAAAGTTTGTCTTCGCCCGAAGTTGCCTGAAAGTTCAAAATCTTCAACTCAATTTAATAACCTAACATGACTAACAGGGGTACCAAAGTTGAACCTTTTTGGAACTTTGGGGTATTTTTTAAATGAAACTGTGGGGTAGTAAAGTGCAAAGGATCCTTTAACTTTTGAAAGGTCATTGTGATAAGCATAGAGATCTTACTTGATCCTCAAGAAATAAGCGTGGGGGAGTGCACCATGCATCCCGGCGAAATGCAGTGAAGGAACTGGCACTGCTTAATCCAGTGTAAGAGCTCACTGAAGACATCTGAGGACTTTGCTGACCACCACCTTGCTGCTCCTGCTCTTGCTCCCTCAAGGCTACAATGTAATCATATGTGCTGATTCCCTGTTGCCACAATTTTTTATGTTGAAAGAATAGAACATGATTAGAAGAAACAAATAGTGCCAGGCTATAAAAGAAAATAAATAATGCAATAATTCCATATAAATGATAATCGAGTGCTAAAGTATCCTTGCATTGTATTGCATTTTTTGTCACATTACCATTCTCCTAACCAATCAGATATTTGATGAAGCAATAAAGATGACACTTGAATATCAGCAAAAACAGAAGCCTACACAAGTTTTCTTCAAGAATAATTTTGGATCCAAGAGACATTGCACAATGTATTCCATTTGCAACTTTATTGTCGAGGGGGCACCTTTATGCAGTTATGATGTGAACATGTTACATTGCATCCAGACAGATTTTCCTGGCAATAGTTTCACTCAACTATTCGTGCTGTATTTTTTGTGCATCATTTTTTTCCTGACGTCTCTAGCATTTGGTCAGTAGTTTAATCTAGCGTACCATTTCTACTGGCATGCATATTCCACAACATGGTGCCTATTAAACCTTACTGTAGAGCAATAGTCATCATCAAATGTTCCCCAACTACTAAAAAAATAATTTTAAACCATTGAAGTAAGATTAAGAAGAGAAAAACAAATGAAGCATCTAACTGGTGGCACAAAGCAAATTCTGCGTACACATAAAATCTGTGTAAGTATGCACATGATTGTTATCCTTTCCTACGAAAAAAATTTATTGTACATAGAAAAATAAAATAGAAGATAGTTTAAGAACCAAACATGGATTTCAACCTGAATTACAATATTCAAAAATTTTGACAGAAGACAAGCACAGCCACAGACCCAATGATATAGTACTTAAGAAACTTACTTTTTTTATGAGAAGAACATGAAAGAAGAAAAGTTGAGCAAGTGGTAGAGTAGCTAGCATCGCCAGGACCGTGCAAGAAGCCTGCCACAAGTAACTATAGATATTAAGTAAACAGTAATGCAGTTTATTCAGAAAAGATAAGAATAACATGCCTAGTTTGAAAGTTAATATAATCTACCATTTTAAAATGAAGATATAGGAAGGGATTTGGGTTTATATATATCAAAAGTTGAAGAACAGTGTATTGATTAATGGTAAAGAGAGGAGGTGGCTTTAAACTCACCACTACAATGATAAAAGGAACCAATGAGAAGCTGCTCCCTAACTTTGCACTAATCTCCACGGAGAATCGCTTCCGCTCCAAGAAACAGAGTATTAAGACAAGGATTCCGATGCACCATTGTAAAATAAGCTGCAAGCTCAAGCCCAAGGTGGATAAACCACGGAGACCTGTCAATAATCAGCCAAAATGAAAAGGACCTGGAACAAAATGTTAGCTACAGTTCTTGGCTATATATCATGGAGCAAAGGGGGAAGTCTGTCACTTTGTAGTGGAGATGGAGAGAATACTCATGATCAGTACAATGACCCAAAATGTGAATGCAAGGTCGGGTATCTATCTGTAGAAATGAGGGCCTAATGGCTTATGCTTACCAAGAGAAGTGCGGAAATCATTAGGACAAAGAACCTTCTATAGTTTCTTCTTCCAATACAATTGTTGAGCCACTGGAAAAGAAATGATGAGGAAAAAGATATTAGAGTGTGATTAAGTTTGTGAAGCCATGAAAGTGAAGGTAATAAGAAATTTATACCCTGCAGTGGTGATCGAAGCCATCAACACATTTGTCACAAACTCTACAATGCTTACTGTACTTCAAGACCTAAATAAACTCCAAGAAGAAACTTATAGATCAGAATCAATCATCAAAATTTACAAACTTTCTATCAGAATCAATCATCAAAATTTACAAACTTTCTTTCTTAGAAGAGGACATGATGTTAGCTCTCATTAATATAGGTTTGTTTGCTATTGTCATGTTCTAAGAAACAATAAAGTATCACTGTCCTTACATTCTAGAAATCAGAATCCAATAAACTATTGGCAACATGTGTACTGGCCAAAATGAATAAAGTTATTAAAGAAGATTAAAATAAAAAAAATTTTGTACTTCCCTTATTCTTGAAACTATAGAAATAACCAGTTGAACATAAACAGACTACCTTACAGAAATTGTGCGCAACAAGGACAATTATGTCTCCAAAAAAATGGAAAGCAATATAGCAAAAGGCAATAAAAGAAGAAATATATATATATAATAAACTAAAAAATTGTATTGAAATTGTGAGTCGTACCTCAACTTCACACAGACTACAATAGAACATGCCGTCCTCACTTTTCTGATGCTCAGAAGATTGCTCATGTGCATGGAAACAACAGTGCACAAATGACAGAGGGCACCACTCCAGCAAAATAACCAAGATAGGTGTATTGCAGCAGGTTGAGTCCTTCCTCTGATGTTGGTCAGATAATTTCTTTGGATTGCTGCCCTCATCCAATGGCTTATTATTGGCAAGGACTGAATTATCTTGTTTAAGGTTCTTGGAGTCATTCTGCTTTCTGCTACTATCTATAATAAGATATTTCTTAGACTTGAAGACTCCTGGATCAGCTGGATCAGTTGCAGCGCAATAGACATACAAGAAGAAGACGCATGCAACCTGGCAAGAATTTTCCCAAGGTATCAGATGTCTGCATTTCAAGAGTTTCAACCAGAATTGTCATCAACAATAACTTGAAGATGTATAAGTATTGATACTTGTCAGAGGTCCAATAGAAGGAAACTTTGATGCTTCTTGGACATTTTAGATTGTTTTCTGCCGACAACTCAAAATTTTAATATATATTTGTTAGAGTATAAAATTATAACCCGCAATCCTCAAAATAACTTCAGCGGCTTTGTTTTTGTTTTTATTTTTTGTTTTTGTTTTTTTTTGGGGGGGTGGGGGGTGGGGGGGAGGTTCTGACAATCTTATAAGAGGTACATTGTATCGTGCATGTGCATCTATCTCCTGTATTAAAAAAATAAGAAGTATTGAGGGACTATACTTTGATAACAGAGATTCATAGTCCATTGACTCCATACTTTGATACCAGAGATTCATAGTCCATTGACTCCATACTATACTTTCTACCAGTGATATTATTATCAATCTGCTTACCGATCCACATTATATTGTCACTTTTCCCTCTTGTGATTCACAGTCCATTAACTCCATAGTCCATACTATGCTTTCCACCAGTGATATTACTATCAATCTGCTTACTGGTCCACATTATATTTACTATAACCATCTGGTCCACTCTCAAGTATTTAACTAATACTTGGCTATATTTCAACGCTTAGGTTGAACAATTTTGTATCCATGATCTTGAATGCTTCACCTGATAATGTCACTCGAAGAAAATCATCCTTTGCAACCTCAATAACTATCAAAGCCATGTAAATGATAGTACTGTATCTCATATATCAGTAATAAAGTATGCTTAGCTCCTTTACTACATCATATTTCTAAAAACATTCTAAATGCTGTATTAATTATCCCTTTTTTAATTAATTCTATCCAAGCTGTTGTCCAAGTAACTAAAAAAATTGAAGCTCAATGAGAAGCCCTGAATGCATGGGATGATGAGTTTAATACAGGAGTTGAGGTATAGCTTTTGGGTTAAAATTGGTTCCTAGCCTTTGTTTGAAGCCCGTCAACTCTCAATTGGGCCTGATTAACCCCCCAACACCAACGCGTGATAAATAATCAAAATTTGATTTATCTTTTGACAACTTGATTTCATTCTCCAGGGAATTGATCCTGCAGACCTTTAGTCACAGAAAACATAACTCACGAAATTAATTTATCAAACTTCAACAGACTGCTACGCGGAGTTGGACAGAGATCACAGAAATTCTGAATCCCATAACACGTACATGCACAAGTCTGCCTAACTTGAACAATAAAATCGTTACAAAATTTTTGCTGAAATGGACCTCCTAGTGTGACAATACTAAGTTGCACAAAGGATTCAACTTGGCAAGATGACATTAGACTCACATACCCATACATGGATATTACTAAAAACATAAGAAAAATATATAGCAGAACTTTGCAAGAAAATAAGAACATAAACTTATACAATGGTCGACTCAAAATAAGGGATTACAGAGGTAAATGAAACACCAGTAACAACCAAAGAACGTAGATCTAAACTAATCTTACCAAGGGAGTGTAAAGCCCCAAAACCACATACTCTATCGCTTTCTTTCCAACAAAAGGGAGGAAAAACACATAAAAGGCAAACCCCAACGCCAAAAACACTGCTATTGCTACTACCTGCATAAAAACTAAAATAAATCACCAACTGCCCACGAAAATTCTAAACAAAAGGAGACCAAAAACATAAGGGGGAGGTGAAAAGAGCAAAAATACCTGAAGAGGATGGTAAGGTAACTGCCACCCATGTTTCCTCATTTCCTCTTCTGGGTCTCGAGGACACAATGCGAAGGCAAAGACGGTCAAGACCCAGAAGAGAGAGAGAGAGAGAGAGAGGTGGGCTGGGCTTAAAGAAGAAGAAGAAGATGATGGAGGTATGGGGTGGAGAGAGAAAGAAAGGGGGGCCCTTTAACTTTCATCATCACCCATAAATCCAGTTGAGTAAATGGGCCGCTGCCTGTGTGAGGTATGTAATTAAGATGGGTGGTAGCTGGAATTTGTTTGCTCTTCGCTCCTCCACAAAATCATAAATTACGCAACACCCCCTCCGCGGGTCAGTCCTAAATCCTAATCATTCTGTGCTTGCTAACGCACCGCGTTGCATGTGACTTCGATATCACATGTGACACTCCCTCCTCTCTCTCTCTCTCTCTCTCTCTCTCTCCTCTCGTTACAGCATGGTCAAAAGTAGGGGACAGTTATCATCATCTCAGCTTGTGTAAAGGAGTACAACAGTCTAGAAATTTTTAAGAAAGATTTGGTTTTTAATTAGTTTGTTTTGACACGTCTGCTCTCGTTAATAAATGGATGGTGATGCGCTTCAGAGCGAATTCAACTTATTATTAGTAGGGGGAGAAAAAGGCTTTTGCTAGAATTTGAGCTAGTGATATATTTATCGAGTAGTAGGTTCTGGCTCTGTTTTCCTCCTTTTGAGACAAGAACAGAGGGGCATGTGACTGTACAGAGGACATAAGCTACCGGCCAAGGGTCTTTTTTTTGTACTTTTTCTCCTAAATTATTGTGCATGTGGAGTTTCAAAACAAGCAAGTTTCTTCAATAATTGAGAAAAATACACGCAAAACCTCATCCAACACTTTTCCTTGTTTCTTATTTATTATTGACACTAGACGCTGCAATTAAAATTTCAAAAACTGGGTTTTGGGTTTTATCCGAAGTTTAAATTACTGACAGGCACCCTTTTTTTTCTTTTCATTTCTCAGTTATTACTGCTTTCTATGGTTTCCTTGTATCAATCTCCAATCAATCAAATAAAATAAAATATAAGAGCTTTGCTACAGGGACCCAAAATATGGGATCAATAGAGGGGACAAGTGAGGTGTTCCCCTCCTATTGGATAATGAGTTGGCCATCATTAATGATGGCCAACTCATTATCCAATAGGAGGGGAACACCTCACTTGTCCCCTCTATTGATCCCATATTTTGGGTCCCTGTAGCAAAGCTCTTATATTTTATTTTATTTGATTGATTGGAGATTGATACAAGGAAACCATAGAAAGCAGTAATAACTGAGAAATGAAAAGAAAAAAAAGGGTGCCTGTCAGTAATTTAAACTTCGGATAAAACCCAAAACCCAGTTTTTGAAATTTTAATTGCAGCGTCTAGTGTCAATAATAAATAAGAAACAAGGAAAAGTGTTGGATGAGGTTTTGCGTGTATTTTTCTCAATTATTGAAGAAACTTGCTTGTTTTGAAACTCCACATGCACAATAATTTAGGAGAAAAAGTACAAAAAAAAGACCCTTGGCCGGTAGCTTATGTCCTCTGTACAGTCACATGCCCCTCTGTTCTTGTCTCAAAAGGAGGAAAACAGAGCCAGAACCTACTACTCGATAAATATATCACTAGCTCAAATTCTAGCAAAAGCCTTTTTCTCCCCCTACTAATAATAAGTTGAATTCGCTCTGAAGCGCATCACCATCCATTTATTAACGAGAGCAGACGTGTCAAAACAAACTAATTAAAAACCAAATCTTTCTTAAAAATTTCTAGACTGTTGTACTCCTTTACACAAGCTGAGATGATGATAACTGTCCCCTACTTTTGACCATGCTGTAACGAGAGGAGAGAGAGAGAGAGAGAGAGAGAGAGAGGAGGGAGTGGTTAGACCCTAGGAGGGAGGTGATTAGGGTCTTATGCTAATCTAATCCGATTTTATACCAATTAAAACTAATTAACAAGTTATTCTTACAAGATAGATATACAATATGTTATAAGCAAGAATGAGCAATATGAATAAATGAATATATCCTAGCAATGAGATATACTATGAAATATATGTAAGGATATATAAACTAACACAAGTGTAAAATAAACAATCTACAAATGTGATAGGGCAATTGACAATGGCGACAAGAATGTAATGAACACTAAGCACAAATGAAACGCCAAAGCAAACTCAAACACAAGCAAATGATCACGGAGTTCGGACCTTCCGTCCTACATCTCCGCTCCCCACTCCCGGGGAGAAATCCACTATCACAATCAGGTTTTCTACGCTCACCCGAATAACGTTTACACCTCACAATTTTATTCACGGAGTTCGGTCCCCACGATCTACGTCTCCGCTCCTCACCTCGAGAATATCTCCACTTCTAATACGAGTCGCCGTGCGAGCACCCTTTGATCGCGGAATTACCAAAATATGGGTTGAAAAAAAGACAACTAAAACACAAGAACAATTCAGTATGGCGAAGGAAAATACCTTCTCTAGATTATGAAGAATCAATTATTACAAATCTCTCCCTCACAATCTCACTAGAATCGAGAACAATCTCTCAATCCTCTCTAAACCCTAATACAATGATTAGAATCTCTCTCAATTACCTCTCTGATCTAAGATGATGTTTAGAAACCCTAAACAACCATTTATATAGGTGTACAAATGTGGATGGCAATCTGGTAAATAACCAGACAAACCCCCAACAGGAATTCGTGCAAACAGAAACCCAAACGAACCAGGAAACCTTCGATGAGTCGACTCAGGACTGCATATGAGTCGACTCATGACTGATGAGTCGACTCATGAACTGATGAGTCGACCGAGCAGAAACTTTTGACAAAACGGCTGGATTTCGTGAGTCGACTCATGACAGTCATGAGTCGACTCAACCTGATGAGTCGACTTATGTTTATGTATGAGTCGACTCACGAGCTGAAAACTATTCTTCGAATCTGCTGCTCGTCGTCTCGTTCCACGCTTTCACCTGCGTTCCACGCTTCCACCTGCGTTCCACGCTTCCACCTGCGTTCCACTGTACTGTTTTACACCCCTATTCTCATGCTATCATGAGAATCATCTATCCTCAAGCTCCCATGAGGATCGCTAAGCTCCCGAAGAGAAGATACACCCGTATCAACTTCACACTCGATTTTCTAGTTAACCGAAAACTTTACAATCTCACAATATAACAAATGATTTGTTCTCTACAATAGATGAGAACTCAATGTAGGCTCACACTCAATTGTTACAACACTCACCAACCCAATTATACTATGTATGAAAATACAATAAGCTCAATATGGGTGTGTGTAACAATAAGATTTATCAAATCTAAACTCAATATAAAAACTAGCTTTAAAGAAAGATAATCAAACAAATATGCAATTGTAAAGCTAGAAATAGAGTTTAGAAAACTTCTCAATAGATCAAGAGGTAGAGGTAAGAGAGTTGGATGCTCAAACACCAATAGATGATTTCCTCAAGCTCTTGTAAACTTGTTTTCACAAAACAAACTCTCAATTGCTTAAAAGCTTTTTAAACAAACTTAAACAATACTTAAACCCTTGTTACAACTTTATTAAAATATTTCTTGGTGTAAAAAATAGTTATGGCAAAGGGGTATATATAGGGAAGAAGAAAACAACCCAAAAAACCTCAAAAACCCACTAAAAAACAAAAATCAGCAAGTTACCGTTACTGTGCAACGGTAACTTCGACGGTCGACCGTGAGAAGCAAAACTGCAAAACAGCTCTCTGGACTGTAGACGGTCGATCGTGGTGGTTGACCGCACTGTAGCACAGTCGATTGTAGCGGTCGACCTCACTGTTCACGGACAGTTTCTGATTTTGACAGATCCTGGAATTTTATGTATCTGACTTTGTAAAATCAATTAAAAATAGTAAATCAACTCCAAAAATCATGAAATTTTGAGGAAGGTTCTAGACATGTAGATAAACATGTTAGAGAAAGAATTTATGAAATATCACTTCCCAGTTGATATAAATAAATGTTTGAACACATATATAGTTTCTGGAAAAAAACTGCAGAAAACTCGGTTTTGTAAATTCAATTGAAAATAACAAAACAACTCCAAAATTAGTAAAACTTGGGAAAATATTTGTATATATGATGATAAACATGTAAACGAAGAAATTTTTCAAATCACATTTCCCAATTATGAAAACGCATCAGTTTTGCAAAAACATGCACGAACATGTGCACGAACATGAGCTTATTAAAAACTTGATTTTGTAAATTCAAATAAACATAACAAATTAATTCAAAAATTGATAAAACTTTGAAAAACCTTTATAAACATGAAATTGAACATGTTAGAAGAAGAATTTCTCAAATTGAGTTTCTCATTTGTGAAAACTCATGTATTTTGCTAGTGTGTCCAAAACATGAAAATGTGATATACATGAAATTTGATTTTTTGACATAAACAATGTTTTAAAACCCTATGAAATAATTTTATAGACTTAATGAAATATGTATACAATGATTGTTAAGTCCATAAACCAAAACTTGTGTATATATATAACTATATATATAAAAACCAAATATGTGTCTATATATATGATTGAGCTTAAAGTACTAACACACATAATATAAAACCTAAACTAAATATACCCAAGCTTGATAGATCTTCGATGTAGCTCAACTTGGTACACTTGTGGATGAAGCTAGAACTTGGATCTTCAATTTGAATTGCATAGGCTTCACTTCACAATTCCGCCAACCTCCATTTAATATGATCGTGAATGCTCGATTCCATCCATCCTCCAACTTGTTATTTGTCTACAATAAATAAATAAACACAAATACTAGACAAATAATATTAGTGGTAGATTGTTTGTTAAACATTATCAAAACAAAGAGACCAACAGATTGAACTCTCAAGGCTCAATCAAGTGCATAAGATCTAAGAAATTAGCAGCTAACAATATAAATGATTTCAGAATTTTTTTTCAAAATATGATTTTTAATGCATAAAAAAGGGCTTCAAATTTATATCTCGGCTTGCAAAGACACACTGAAGAAGGAGATCACATATCGACAGTTGAAGGATCAAGATCCAAACACAGCAAACCTACAAGGAAGATGAATCCCTTGTAAAAATACTCCTAATAAGTACAAACCCAACTCCCAATTATCATCAACTTCAGATCTACATCTGATTTTTTAATTTAAAAGCTTAAATTCCACAAATCTAGTCGAATTAGGAGAGGGTAAGAGAGATGCGAACAACAGAGAGTACATGCACAAAGAAATTAGCGGGAGGGAGCAAAAATAATGGAGGGAGGAGGATTCTAGGGTTTCTTCCAACGAAGAAAGCCAGAAAAATGGGAGAATAGGATAGCTATCAGTTTTTTATTGAGAGGAAATAGGTGTTGTCAGCTTTTTACACAAATTCCACCCAAAATCAATGGATCTAGGTTTCTATAACTACCACCCCCCCTCTCCCCGTCACCAGATGTAGAACACATGGATATATTTATGGAGAAACGAGACCATTAAAAGGCCAAATGCGGGCCCAGGTGAAGAAAATAATTTGCAACAAAGAACGAGTCATATTTCTCAAACCGTACGTCGAAATTAGACAAACTATATATATAAATCACGTATTTTTTCGAGACGGAGTCAACCATACCCACCGTTGTTTGGTTTACCACCGTCTGTTTTGTGAAATTTTCTCCAAATTGAGAGATATCAGAGTTTTTATTAGTTTTTTTACTCTTTTAGGTAATGTTTTATGAGTCTATTTTGATTAGGAAGCAAATCCAGTTTGATTCTAAATTTGATCGGTCAACTTCTCTAATCATAGAGAGTCTATTAAGGAGAGTTTTGTTATTTTTATTTTTGGCAATGAGTTATAGTAGGAGTCTTGTTTATTTTCTATTTAAGCAGAGTATTGAGTATTGTAAGTCCTAGAAATATAACTTTTTATCAATAAAATTCCTCTTTAATATTTTCTTTGTGGAATCAGAGATCGTTCTTTGTGGATTCAGATAATACCCCTTGGTGAATTTATAAAAATATCAATGTTAAGTATTTCAATGGAGGTGATGGAAGGTAAGGAAAAGTTGGAGAGAAAGAAGAGTAGGGAAGGGATGTGAGTTCTCTTCCCCTTGATTACACCCCATTTTGGAGGAGAGGAGAGGGGGTGGGGTAACAAAGTTTGTGTTATTAGGGGGTGAAATAAGGAGAACTAGGCTGAATAAGTTCACCTCCTAAATATTCTCATACGAGGTGAATGTTTCCTCTAGCTTCATTTTCCCTTATCGCTCTCAATCCAAACAAGCTCTTATTGAAATCGTCTTCTATTTAAAGAAAATTGTGAACCAAATATGGTTTTAGGATACCAAAAGAATTTTTTTTACAGAAATATCCTTATCAGGTGGAAATCATATTCCTAATAATGAATTTGGGTGAACCAAACATCCCCTAATGCTTCAACCTAAAATGGCAGGCCTTAATGAGCATTTTTGCCTACAACCCTGTCGTGCACTTGATCATTGTAAACGTTATAGGTATTTGATAAAAGGGATGTAAAGAGACTTCTAGGTGTTCTTTAGTTGCCATATGGTTCAAACGAAGAATGTTTGGAGGCAAAATTTGGCTCGTATCATTATCGGTTTTTTTTATCTGCATTTTCTTAAATACAATCAAAAAATATTATTGAACATGAGTCTTCTTTTTTCTTTTATTGAGAAAATTTCGTTCATTGTTGTTATTGGTAGTACTTGAGTTTTCTTTCTCACCTTGAATTTTTTCCCATGGAAATGAAAGTAATTCAATAATACCAAATCTTTAGACCAATGACTTATCATTATTGATTTAAAATATACTAATTACCTCGTTTGCATGTAGAAGATGAAATTGGCAATTAGTTGTCAGATTATACCGTAGTTGACTTTGTCAAATAAACAAACTAAATTTGCACATCTGATAGGTTCATTAGGCGCTCTTCTTTTTTTTTTTTGCGCCTTTCTCTCCCGAGGAAACATTAGGTTTTCGTAGTTCACTAGTTAACTTGATGAAAACAGCGTAAGTATCAGTCCTGATTATCTTAAAAACATTATACAAAAGCATGTACTCAAATATACATTGTGCATCTGTAAACTCGTGTTCGTCATTTACTCTGAATCGCATGAGAAGAGGTACTTGCTCACTTTTCTGAGTTAATAATTCCCCTCTTAATTCTGCGTTTGCTCTCTTGTAATAGAAAAATCATAAATAAATATTCATTTCCACTCATCGTCTTAATCCTGCTTTTCCTCAATTTCTCATAACCATAAACTTCTGTTGATGAATGTAATGTAAAACATTGGGACGTAAGTGACTGCTTGCTAGCTTATCGCATTTGATAATATAAACACAAATACATCTCTTATTTTCCCTCTTTTTCTTTTTTCTTTTTGGACATGTGTTCTATAGATACAACTTTTATAGCTTAATACTCTCATTTGCTCTCCATATATATATATACAGCTTCTATAGCCTACCCGTGCCTGTATCTAACAATAGCTTCAAGTGAACGAGCAAAAGGTTAGAACTTTGTACAGGGATTAACATAGAGGATGGCCCCATCAGCAAAGAAGAGATCAATTCCGTCTCAAAAATAGCTGCAAATAAACATGACATATGAAATCAGCCAAAAAAAAAAAGCAAAAATATAACATCAAATAGGATTAATTGTGGATAGACCCCCTGTACTATCGTCCAATTATAGATACCTGTAGTTCTGTTTTTTTTCTTTTTTACAAATAGACCCCCTGAGGGTAAACTGTCACAATATTTCACTCAGAGGGTCTGTCTGCAACAATAGAAGTATAGTTGTCTGTCCACAATTTGGCGATAGTACAGGGGATCAATCCACAAATATCCCTATACAATTGCATACCAGGATTCAGATAACATGGAACCAAGTAGAAGATTTGGGAAAACTGATTGCTCAGAGCAAATATACTTGCCACTGCAACATAGCCAAGTATAGGATCTCATCTAACATCTTTTCTGGCTGGTCTCCAACTTTGGACTTGCTTACTGTTTTCTGCAACATCTGACTCGGATTTGTCGACTCCGCTTCCTGTTTATACTACAATATCAAGAAAACATGACTGGAGGAAGAAGATTTCAAGTAAACAAAAAGGACACTCGACCTTTTTATTTGATGAGTTTGGGATTTAGACTTCTCCGTTTCAGCTTCTTTCTCTTCCCTTTTCCTCTCTAGCTCTGCCTGCTTGCAATTCTCCTGATGCGCCCGCCGAAATATTGTCACAAAATTCCAGAGGATAGAGATAACTATAATTATTGAGTGAATAACAATCAGAAATTATAATCATGGAGTTAGATGCCAGTGTAAGATAATTATTAAAAAAAGGTCATTTACTCTCAAGAAAAATGAAGGATTACATCTAACTGTCTTATTTATATATTGCCCAAGGAACGTGTCAATCCCAGAAATTTCATAAAGATATAGGGAGAAATTGATCTTACAGATCAACCATCCCTTGTATTTGGCCTCTCTTTGATGAGTACACTCAACACTTGCTCAGAAAAGGAGTAGGTGCTCTACTCTCGATAAATGTAATGTTACATCTAGTTGTCTAATCTATACATTGCCATGGAAGTAGGGGTGCATTCGGCCCGGATACGCCTCAGATATAATGCTTACCATATTCATATCCGCTTACCCATCTCGGATACGAATACAAATATACCTCGGTAAGAAAAATTCATATCCACATCCGCTAAAATCGTATATGGTTACGGTTATACATGCAAATATGCATGTGGATACAAAATAGATATGAGAATACTAGATAGTATTGAAAAAAACATAATTCATGTGATACAAAATAGTTCGTTAATATGTTCAATATAACTGAAAAGCTATGATTAGACATCTTGATCATCAAAATTAACCACAAATCCATAATCTGAGAATCGAAAGTATTGTATGAGTATGACTAATATGTATTCAGATATTTCACTACAAAACCATATCTATACCATATCTTATCGGTTATAAATTTGAATAACCATATCCATATCCTAACGGGTACGGTTGTAGATATTTACTCGGATACGGTTACGGTTTAGTACCCCTACATGGAAGCCTCTTGCTCCTGAAAAGCAAAAAATTAAAAGGAAAAAAGGAGAAAACCATGCATCCCTTGTGTTGGCTTCTCTTTGAATATAAACAAGAACTTTGTAAATTCCCTAAAAGAGGTCTTCTATTCAATAAAATGTAAATGCTACATAGGTCTACTTTATATACTACCCAGGTAATGTCTATTGCTTATGGAACGTCAAGGACACTTCCAAAAAATCAATGATATTATTGATAAACTAATTTTATGAAAGCACATGCTCAATTACTCATATACAAGCATGTAAAAATTCAGTCTTTAAGGGATATTTTCTCAAAAGAAAATGTTGGGTTAAACCCAAGACCTAATAGAGCAGGGTCCCAACGAATAGTAGAGCGGAAATAATAAAATGAACACACAAATTTACGTGAAAAACCCCTAAATGAATTTGGGGTAAAACTATGGGCAAAATCCACTATTAGGAAAAACTTTAGAGTTACAATATCTCTTTACAATGAGAAACTCTCTATTTTTTCACTCTTCAATATGTGGAGTTGTTTCTGGGATGATTTTTCTTAAAGAGTTTTGGGCTTTTAGTTACAGCAGCTGGGAAAACACTACTCCTAATTTTTTAAGATTTTCTTTTTAAATATTTTTTTAAAGCTCGGTGCAAAACTCTTTTTTTGGTGTGTGGGGGCCGCACCTTTTTCTTTCTTTCAAACATTATGGCTAACAATCTCTCACTTGAAAATTTGATTGTCAATCATATCTTCACACTATTCTTTTTTATCTTGCCATCTTCATATTGCTCACGTCTCCGACAGACCACAAGAGGATTGACACCAAATAAATTTATCAGTATTGATTACTTTTGTCACAAAATCTGATAGGTTGTCTTTGGTGTGAATTTTCTACATATCCATTGTTCCTTCTTCCACTTTCTCATGAACAAAATAGTAGTGAACTCGAATGTGTTTTATCTTTGAATGAAAGGCTAGATTTCTTGCCAAATGTGAAGCATTCTGACTATCATAAAATAGAAAAATCTTCTTTTATTCATGCCCGAGTTCCTCCAGTATCATTCTCAACCATATTTTCTATTTACTAGCTTGTGTAGCTGCTACATATTCTGTTTTTGTTGTTGATGTAGCCACAACTGACTGCAGTTTTAAAACCCAGCTTATAGCTCCTCCAGCAATTGCAAACACATAACCTATGGTGGATTTGTTATTATCACGATCACCTGCATAATCAGAATCAACATATCCATTGACAATAAAATCTGATACCCATAACATAATGTAACATTTGAGGTTCCTTTAATATAGCTTAGGACCCTCTTTATAGCATTCAAATGCTCTTTACCAGGATTCGCCATGTATCAACTAACTACTCTCACTACTTGTGCAATATTTGGTCTTGTACAAATCATAACGAACATTAAACTTCCCACTGCTGATGCATACGGTACTCGAGACATCTCCATCCTCTTCTTCACTGCTAGGATTCATACTGGAGGATAATTTGAAATTAATAGGAAGTACGGTAGAAATTGACTTACAATCTTGCATGTTAAAACGCCGTAAGATTTTTTTCAAATAATTCTTCTGAGAAAGCCAAGTCTTCTTATTAATTCTGTCTCGATAAATTTGCATTCCTAAAATCTTGTTTGCAAATTCTAAATCTTTCATTTCAAATTCCTTAGCTAATCGTGTCTTCAATTCTTTGATACGATCTTTGTTGGAGCCTGCGACTAACATGTCGTCAACATACAACAATAAAATAATAAAATTATTTTCACCAAACCTCTTAAAATATGCACAGGGGTTTAAATTAAGTCTGTTGTATCCAAGGCTCATGATGAATGAATCAAATCTCTTATAGCAACACCTTTGTCTGTTTTAGATCGTACAGAAATTTGGTTAACCTATAAACCAAGTTCTCTTTTCTTTTTTCTTCAAAACATTCTAATTGGAGCATGTAAATTTTTTCTTCAAGATCTTCATGAAGAAATGATGTTTTCACATCTAGCTGTTCTAGATGTAAGTTAAATATAGCGCTCATAGTCAGGACTATTCGGAGTGTTGTAAATCAAACTAAGGAGAAAATATTTTATTAAAATCAATACATTCTTTCTGATCATATCCTTTTACTACTAATCTAGCACGATATCACTCCACTTGATCATCGTTATTTCCCTTGATTTTATAGACCTATTTATTTTCAATAATCTTTCTTCCTTGTGGTAGTGACACAAGTATCCAAGTCTTATTCTTGTGGAGAGCTTTAATTTCTTCCTGCATTGCTGTCATCCACAAAGATGCATCTGTGCTATTTATAGCTTCATGAAAAGTTGATAGCTCTCTATCCTTTGTTAGAAAACAGTATGCAATATTTTTCTCCATAATATACTCCGAGTGCCAAGTCAGTGGTCTTCTCTCACGAGTTGACCTTCGAACTTCTAGAGCATCGAACTCGACTAGTTCTTGTACATCATGCTCTAGTGTTGCTTTAAAAGAATTTGAATTATTTTCTACCTGAACAGCTATAGTCTCTGAATTCTTCCTTGAACAGCTTTCTGTTTACTTTGTAGTTGGTTATCTACAAAGATAATATCTCAGCTGACGATAACCTTGCGGGTAGTGAGATCCCATAAACGATACCCCTTTACTCTATCAGCATACTCTAAGAATATACATTTTATGGATTTTGAATCCAACTTTATAATTTCTTAGGCATTATACAATACGTACACTAAACTTTCAAATATATGAAGGTTGGAATAATCAGCTGGCTTGTCGGTCCACATCTCTATCGGCGTCTTTAACTGTATTACGGTTGATAGAGATCGATTCACCACATAACATGTAGTTTTTACTGCTTCCGCCCAAAAGAGTTTATCCATATTTACAGTTGTCAACATTGCTCCTATTCTTTCCAACAGAGTTCTGTTCATCCGCTCCGCTACTCCATTTTGTTGAGTGTATGCAGTACTGTATTGTCTTTTGATGCCTTCTTACTTGCAGAATGTAAGAAATTCACCGTTTGTGTATTCTCCTCCATTATCTGACCTCAAGCACTTGATCTTTTCAGATTTAAACTCGACTCGCACTTTGTAAGCTTTAAAGACTGAGAACACATCTACTTTCTTCTTGATAAGGTACACCTAACATCTTCTGAAATAATCATCAATAAAGTACACTATGGATATAACTAGTGCTCCTCCTATGGACTGTAACTGGTGTTTGCCATATCAGAATAAACCAGCTCCAGAATAGCCTTGCTTCTAGAAATTGATGTGTTAAACTTCAGCTGACGCCGCCTACTTGTAACACAATGCTCGCAGAAGGGAATAGCTACCGATTTGAGTTTAGGAAGCAGCTTTTGATCGGAGAGAATCTTCAAGCATTGTTCTGACATGTAGCCTAGTTTACGATGCCACATCATGGTTTGTTCTTCTCTACGGCTAGTTGATGCCACACATGAATCAGCATCCTGCACGGTTTCTTCCCTGAGCATGTATAGATTTACAGCTATCTTTTCTCCTTTTATCACAATAAACGCCCCTCTAACAATTTTTATTATCTCATGTTCAATATGGGTTTTACATCCAAGCTCATCGAATTGTCCTAAAGACAATAGATTTTTCTTCAAGCCTTTCACATGTCGTACATCTTGAATGGTGCGTATTGTACCATCAAACACTTTAATTTTGATAGTGCTAATATCAAAAATTTTCAAAGCATTGCCCATAAATACAGATACTCCATAGGTTCATATTTGTGAAATCATTCTCTACGGGAGGTCATGTGCCAAGAAGTTGTTGAATTCAGAAGCCAGACATCAGCAAATATCTTTTTGCCTTCATCAACAGTGGTGTAGGCTGTCTAAAAATCACAATGGATAGCTGAGTCTCCATCGAACACTGATGATGGAAGTTACAATCTGACGACTTCCAGAAGGCTACAATTCGAAGATTTTCACATGTCAAAGA